CGCCATATAAGCGGTGCCCTACTGTATTGCAGATTTTATGTTGTTTTAAGTGTTTGTAATTTATCCTTCAACAGAATACTGCAATTGTGAACTTCTTCATCTCATGAAGATGTTTTTGTGAAGTAGATATGGTTGCGTTTGAAATTGAACATTCTGTATTGTTTTTGTTTTTTCCATTTCAGGGGAACACACGAGCGTATTCAAAGAGTGGTTATCACTTGGCAACATTCCAAAGCATCCTTCCAGGTGGCAACCATGATGATTTTAAAGGATACACCATACTTGATTGTATCTGGAATGTTGCCAATTACAGCTACTATGTGTTAGATGTATTAGCATGGAGTAACCAGCCAATGCTTGACTGTGAGGTATGAAGATTTTGGTTTCTGAGTTTTGAAATTGTTAAGAAACATCATTGTTCTAATGCACAAATTTCCTCCATTTTAATATATGGCACCAAATAGTTGCTTACCAACAAATCCAGAGACTGGGCAAAGTGGAAGAAGGTTATACTTCTTTTATAAGATTGGGACCAGTTTCAGAGAAATGAGTTGTGAAAACATTGTAGTGTAATTGCACTAAATAATCCAGTACAATGTTGAAGAAGTTATACGCTAAGAAGTAAGTTAAATAAAAATGGTTCTAAATCTGGAAAGCTGCACATTTCTTAAAGAAACTTTGTCCAGGTATGCTGCATGGCTTTAGTTAATGTATTAGTAAAGTGGTTTAACAAATATATTTTCTTTGTCAAAATAGAGGAAAGTAACCAAATATTGGGTACATTTTTAAGAAAAATAAATACCAGAAAGAAATCTGTTTTCAAGATTATTCCATTTTTATTACTGGAATTTACTGTGGCTCTATCAATTGAGAATAAGTTCAGAGATGCAAGAAACATAAAAATATGAAAACGAGAATTACCATAATTGAAATCATCATGACATTGAAAATCTGTTTCAAAATTAACTTTTTCTTATGTGCAACAGACAGAATTTCGATTCTACTGGCTGAAGTCAAAGATGGAAGAAACATCGTGTCTCTCCAGACGTTCAAATGACAATGCTTTTCCCTTTGTCTCACTTCCATATCATCACTGTAATGTCTCCATAATGACAAATATCATGGCCACAGAGCACCTGTTTGGACAGGATGGACCTGCTCTAGACGGGTTACTCTTCTATCACTCTCAGACGCATTACATTCCTGGGAATACGCCATTAGTCGGATGGCTGAAGCCACACATGATGCCCGTTGTGCTGAATGTGCCTGTAGCTCCAGTGTATCTTCAGAAGATGGAAAGCAACAAAAGAAGTGAGAAGAAAAAGAACAGGAGATACTGCAAATCAAAGGTAAGTTTCAAAACTGAAAGCAGCTGTTGATCATAATGAAATTAGTAGAAATTCTAGAACTGCGACTACTAGAACCTCTGTAGTTTGCTCTCTAGAACCAGTTAAAGTACTTCTTGAACTCTTAACAACCCCCTCCAAAATGTAACGTTGTATTGTCACTTCATTGAAAGTATTAAGGTATCTGAAAAATACTACCTTCGAATTCTGTCATTGTCAAAGGGTGCATAGTATAGGTATCTACTAAATACAATATGGGTTTAAAGTGTTACATTTTTGTAATCATGGTATGTACTGTACATGAATGAAAAAGGAAAATTATGTCTTGTACTTCGACTATGCATTAGTGTGCACCTCTTGTAATGTGACAGATTCTGAGACAACATTTTATCTGAGCTCCCCTTTATTTTCCCTGTTCATCTTATATTTCATTCTTTTGTCTTCTCTGATCTCTCTTTTGATAAGCTGGTGGCTTTTTAGGGGCTAAGTTTTTAGCTTCCTCGCATATTGAGCTTTATCTGCATCTGCGTTGTCCATTTAAGTAAATATCATTTGTCCTATATTTTCCTTGTTTCCAGGTAAGGACAGCTTCTTCCATTCCTTGTATGCCATACCTGTATCCATATTTCCCCAGTTTTCATTTGTTGTGTTTAGTCTTACTTTAAATTTAGTTTTGTTTCCTTTCCTTTTTAATTCCTTATTTACTTCTTCCTGTCCTCATCCCACATATTGCATTGTCCTGCCCACTTCCATGATTCCGTCTCTTCCCACCCCCCTTTGGCCAGGCTGCGGTCCCCCAGCTTTCCCATCGGCTCCTGCTGCCTCTGTCTTCAATTTTCTTTACCTTCCTCCTCCATCCTCATCACATTGCTCTGGGCATGTTTAACCTTGTCTGGTGTGCTCCTGTATTTTCACCTGCTTTTTCATGTGTGGCTTACTCCGTTAACCTGATGATAGAGGCAGTGAGCACCTCTGAAATGTTTGTCATTTTCCATGAGAGAACACACTTCAATATCCAGTCATCTCCATTTTTTACATGAAAACAGATAAGAAAATAGTGGACTGCGTAGATTCCACATTATTTTCTGTACTGTGTTTATTATACAGTATTGATTACATTACTTTAATTGTTGCATATTGTGTGTGCTGTTTATACAATTAGTAGACATTAGTAAGGAGGTTGGTCTTCAAATAAATTCAGAAAAAAAATTAAATCCATGTTGTCTTTGACAGAATGCAGGAGAAAATCCTAATACAACATTTTAAAATATGGAAAGTTAAGGTACTTGATAATAACAGTAACAAGTAAAAATTACATTCATGATGAAATGATGAGGAAAAACAATTACAGAAATGGTTTCTGCAATCAGTTCATTCTTTATCTGACTGTGTACTACTGAAAAACATACAGATTAAAATATACAAAACTGTAATTTTACCCTTGCATGTGTATATATATTAGTATGAAAACTACTGTCATTCTGCAGGAAGATTGCAAATTGACGTATGAAAACAAAGCTTTGAGGAGAATATTTGGAACTAAGAAAGTGGTACAGCAGGATAGACAAAATTATGTGATGAAGAGCTTTATAATTTGTACTTTAAACTGATATTATGGGTGATGGTATTAAGGAGGATGAGGTGGGTGAGGGCTTGTGGCAAGAATGAGAGAAATGAGAAACATGGTAAGAATTTTGGTTGGGAAGCCAGAAGGAAAGAGGCCATGCTACAGACCAAGATGTAATTGAAAGGATTATATGAAGGCAGATCATAGAGGCATAGGCTATCAAGCAACAGGTTAATGTAGTTCAGGATAGGGCTCAGTGATGGGGATTTTGTGAACATGATAATGAACTTTGGGATTAGAGTCTCCTCTATATTCATAAATGGCAGGGTCAGAGCAAGTAACATAATGGAGTATGACATCTGTTGTGGTGTAGCTCTGTGTACATTGACACTGGACATTGTGACCAAATGGTTAATGCTAGTGCTTTATATCAGAGGGTTCAAATATCAGCTTGGTCTGTCCAAGAAAGTGCTGGAGATTACCTTAAATTATGCCATGACGGCTTCTTTCCACTTCCTTTCCAATTTATTATTTATTACCATCCTATCATAGGATCCAGGGTAGCTCAATCTATATACTGACGGACTACGGACTGGACAACTGGGGTTAAATCCCTGATAGGGGCAGAAGACTTTTTCTCCAGCCTCTGCTGGTTTTCTTGTGCTCTCCTAATCGCAGATCCCGAGGATGCAAGTGAAAATTGTAAGACCATGAATCTTTCCACAGGACTGTTCATGCCTGATAAGAAGGGTTAATCAAGTATCTTTTCTAATGAGTGAGAGGATGGTTAGAACATATAATGCCCTGCACATGTAACTCATCCGAAAACAAGAAACAGTATTTGTTAAGTTTTGTTAACGTGGTTATGAACTTTTAGGTTCCATAAAAGCAAAGAATTTCTTGACTGACTGGAAAACCATAATCTTTTCAAGGAAGACTGCTCCATGCAGTTTGAGTGTGTGTGTGACAGATTCAATTTTATTGACCTTATTTTATGTATTCTTGCAACAGGATGTTGTTGGTTGTCATGATTCTATGGCAGAAATGGAGACAAATATTCTGGATGATACACAAGATAGTAACAGTGAATCTCATGTAGAAGAGATGGAATCTGAAGACAAGACTGAATAACCAGAAGCTTCTGCATCATAGAAAGTAGCCAACATTCATCAAATGTGATGTATTTTAATTATAAAGTTTTATCTTTATTGATGAGAGATTTTCGATCAAACACACAACAAATGTGTTTTGTTTAACATGGATACAAAAATATATTTCATGTTCCAACTTGTATCAAAATCATTTTAGGCTATTTTATGTACTTGGAATAAAAGATTAAATCTGTTATACAGATTATCAGTAAGACATGTTTGTCATTCTTGCAATTTAAACAGCATCTTAAATAATGGCATTCTAAATTTTAAATTGCAAGTGACCATTAGATTAGATTGTACTTTTGTTGTGTGTTTGGCAGAAATAATCTCTCGTGGATATAATGGTAAAGTTCCATATTTGGTACACTGCAGTCAAGTTTAGCCACATGTGAGAAGAAATATTTTGCCACAACTTTGGTTGGAGTATATTGTGAGAGCATATTTTCATGATGACTCAGAATACTAACTTTAAATGGTTTATGTCTGTACGGCGGATAAATGTCATCCATATAAAAGAATATAATTTAAGCCATTAGGTTCCACTTGCAATAAAGATAATTTTTTTATTATAAGTTTACAGAAAATGGTTTGTCTATATTAATGTTTTGTGGCATTCATATCTCTTTATTCTACACAAATTACAGAAATACCACTAACATTTTGCTTCACAAGATTTTCTTAACCTGTTGACGCGGAAAGTTTAAATACCCAGCATATACCACTGTTGTGCTGTGATGGCGGTAGTTTTTTTTAAATGTCCATTTAAATTTTTGGATCAGAAGTTGAGAACGGAGTGTACAGCAGCCGGTTCTTTGCATAATAAGATCTGATTGTAGGCTTTTGAACAATGCCCATCAACATAAATAGAGCCAAAACCACGTAAATTTCGTCTACTGTGACATCTTGCCACTTCCTAATCCTAGATCGAAATGTGAGAGGATGGGCACTTTTAGAAATTTCTTGCTTAGCATATCTGTTGGTTTCATCTACAATGAGCTGCACAAGAGCTGTATCGAAAATGTTTTCGAATGAACTCACAACATCTAGTCTAGCCGTGTCGAACCGAGGACCATATACATTACAAAATGCTTCTCTTGAAGCAGTAAGTGATTCTATATTTTCCCACATATACTTGCCGGAAACAATACCTGAATTTGCTTCTACAATTTCTTCCTGGCTTTCGCCACCACCATTGTCACTCTCATTATCACTAATCGCTAACGTTCCCGGTGTCACCAACTGTGTATAGTCAAAGTCTACACTCTCAGTGTCCGAGCTACTATAATTGTCACTTCCAATAATTCGTCTAGAAGTCATTACAACTTTACTGTGTCTGGCATAGATATACATTGTAGTAATAAAAACAAACTTGGAAATTAATTTTAAAATGGAAATTTTTTGGGAACTCTTAACGACAAAATTTAAACAAAATCAACAGAACTTTATTTTCACTCATCTCTTCATTATGACAACTTAAAACTAATCCCCCAAAATACTGAAAAGCTCACCTCTGAATAGTAATTTTGTGCTGTGACAATTCAAGACAAACTGAGGAAACATATGTCATTTTAACTATTGTGAAGTTAAGCCTGTCCCCGTCTTTTCACACTGGGGAATTAACGTCAGGGTCCTTCAACATTATGTGCTGATAAATAGCTAGACTGTTGTTATTATGTTGCACACGATAAGTAAAGTTTTAAAATTAAATATACCTATTTAATTCACTGGTAAGACTCTAATAATAGTTACAGTCAGACAGTTACCCATGGAAGGATCTTATGAACACTCTGAACATTAATAAACCTTTGGATTCCATAAAAGGCAGGGAGTTTTATTTACTATATGAGTGAATATTGACTCCCCAAAAATGATGTCCACAGAGATAGTTAGCTAAGGTACATACTCTAACTTAATAGGTTTGTTGCACTGAGGATCCTTGTTGCAACAATTGTTGACCAGAGTGGCCACTTCGTGCCAGGGTAATAACTTGGTGGGCTGGATCACTGCTAGAGCTGCTTCGGAAGGTACTCGTTCTATGTCCAACCAGTCCTGTGTTACACCAGATGTGAACTGTCTCCTGTGATGGAACCCAGGTCTCAGAACAAAGAGGCTGGAATCTAACTATAAGAGCCATGCCATGGACTAGAAGAAATTCACACATAACAGTGCAGACTACACACTGACCACGTTAAGGAATCATGAAGACGAGACTTTCGCTCTAATTATACAGCATGTACATATGCAGTGGAAACAGATTTTGACCTGAAAGGTGCTTGCTACAATTCAGTCTGGAATCTTGCCCTCCCAACTGCTATTTGAAAATGTAAAGATTAAAATACACAAAATTATAATTTTATTTGTTCTATATAGGCATGAAACTTGGTCTCTCATGTTATGGCAATATAAAATAAGGATGTTCTAGAACAGGGTACTGAGTAGAGTATTTGGATCTAAGATGGAGAAAGTAAACAGGAGGTTGGAGAAAACTGCATAATGAGGAACTACATAATTTGTACTCTCCATCAAATATTTTCAGAATAATCAAATCAAGGATCAAACAGGCAGAGCATGTAACACACATGGGACATGAGAAATGCATACATCATTTTTGTCAGAGAACATGAAGGGAAGAGACCACTTGGAAGACCCAAGCATAGATGTCAGGACGATAATAAAATGGTTCTTAAAGAAATATAGTAGAAGGGTTTAGACTGGAAAACATTTGGCTCACGACAGTTACTCATGGGAGGATCTTATGAACACTCTGAACATTAATAAACCTTTGGATTCCATAAAAGGCAGGGAGTTTTATTTACTATATGAGTGAATATTAACTCCCAAAAAATGACGTCCACAGAGTTAGTTAGCTAGGGTACATACTCTAAGTTAATAGGTTTGTTGCACTGAGGATCCTTGTTGCGAGAATTGTTGACCAGAGTGGCCACTGGGTGCCAGGTTAATAACTTGATGGGCTGAATCACTGCTAGAGCTGCTTTGGAAGATACTCGTTCTATGTCCAACCAGTCCTGTGTTACACCAAAAGATAATTAATGAAACTGCATATCATACCAATACTTTTTGAAGAAAACTTCTTTCTACTTGTGACACATTTGTGATTTCTGTCATATTATTCTGACATACTAACCCTTTAAATATGCTCTGGTTGCCATTGTATTCACATTAGCTTTGCAGAGCTTTTAAAATTACACCATAAACCCAAATGGATAAATTTAATTTTGTAATTCTTGCTTTCTGTGTCTCCATTTGTTAAACTGCCCATATTTTGATACCCTACTGAGATATCTTGCAAGAAAAAACATTTTCAAGACTTGTAGACACTAGTAATTTGTATAAGATCATTATTAGGTGTGAATATTTTACACTTTTAATGTTGGCACTAGTAGGGGTGAGTGGTTAGCATCACGCCTCAGCTGTGCTTAACCCTGGGAAAGTACCCTACAGTACTCATTGGATAGGAGGCTGGGTGGGCCCCAGAGCCAGTATGGAAGCAGAGGCAAGAAGAAAAATGAATGGTATAAATTTAAATTGTTTTTCTTTTTATTTCTCTCAGATTATCTCCAACACACAGGCACAAGTTTGTGGGTTTACCTCATAAAAGACACAGGCACAAGTTTGTGGGTTTACCTTATAAAAGGGAGAAATATTCAGCAATATTTTGCTGGCTTGCACGAGGATATTGATCTTTTTAGGTGCACACACACACACACTTTGTCTTACCAACACTTAACACAGCCCTTTTCTCCATGTCAGATAAATGCAACCAATTGTGATTTCGCAGTATGCACCTGTATCTGTTTGTTACTTAAAGCAATGGTGATGCAGTCATGACAATATAACCTCAAATTTGACATGGAAAAAATTCAATAACCAAATTATAACTTGGTGGGTTATGTTAGTATTAAATTCCTGTACTTTATGAAGTATGCAGCTATAAATAACCACTGCAGTCAAATAAATGGAAACATATTAATGTGAAGTAAACCTCCATTAGAATTCCCATAACTTTACCTCATGGAAGATTTGTGTGGTAGACATTAGGCCAGGTTCATAACTGGTAGAAGTTTATACTCACTGCTATTTGTTCTCCCTCCAGAATGGCTGGCATGCGATGATGCAACCAAGACAATGTGCTGTTTGAATCCAGTGTTATGACACTATAACTGTATATCACTTCTCCCTGGAACATAACAGAAACGTGCAATGAAATGTTCTTGGACAAACAGCCATGTGATGGTGTTAATATCCAGAATTTTGATACTGTGATGGTGTTAATATCCAGAATTTTGGAAACTCTTTGCCTCCATCATCATGGCTGATGCAGTGACACGATTATCCATTATATTTATATCCGCAATTGGCTCTTAGCACCCAGTGTCCTTGTCCCAGGGAACACAACAGTGGAACAGTAAGTACTTTAGAGAAACAAGTAACAATACAATTAATAAAAGGGGAGTATTCACATTTAACGATTTGTCTTTTAGTCACTGTGCATTCTTAAAAAACAAGGGGGCAGGGGAGCAGGACTGAAGTTGCATAATTTTTAATTTAACTTTTAATGCAAACAGGTTAAAAGTTTTCAACCGACCACCCATGTTATATCAAAGTAGCACTGTAAAACAGCACTGAAGACATTTTTCCAAGCAGACCATAAGAAATTACTTCTATTCACTTTTTTCCTCCCCCTAGTAACTATGAAGCGTAAAGATATGAAATTACCACATCCTACTCTTCTCTGAAAATGTCCCAAATTCCACATGTGAATATTTATTACATGGCAAAAATGTAAATGCACCAGGACACTTTGTACATAAAATGGTTGGGAATCAAAATGTTAAAAGGATGTTGAGTCAATTAAGACATGAAATGGAATATTCTATAATGAACTTGCAGGTTTCATGACTAAAAGGCATTCTTACCGGCTCATTATCTACTTATACTCGGGGAAAACTCATACATGGAGAGATTTGATTAGTCATGTTACCTCTCCTGATTGTACTTCTGGTTTACTCTAAATTGGTGCTTTTGAAAGAGCCTCTTTTATAGCTAACAGTCTCACTTTAGAACAGCATACTATAATTATTCCGAGACAAACCTCTGCAGATGTCCATTCATCATAGAGACCAGCCATGTGCACAAGTTTTGGACCTTTCCATCCACTTTTTTCACTCCGGTCACATGACCATGTAGCTGGGTCCTCCACACGGACCTGTATCGTGGAGGTATAGGGAGAACAAGCAATACTGATTGTTTGACTAGCTGCCTACATTTAAAATATATATTTTTTAATTTATAAATCATCTTCCTTTAAATAATAATTGTTGTAATCTTGTTATAGTGCATTGAATTCAGACTTAATTTCAAATTACACAAAACATACCCCCTCATCTTGTGGCATATAGATGAAGTAGGGCTGCTTATTCCCTTTGCCTTTAGTGGTCTGCCACTCATAGAAGCCATCACATATGACAACACATCGTTGTCCCTTGTTGAATGGCCTTGAATATAGTTTAGAACTTAGTAAACCTTCTAAACGACAATTGTTTGTTGATAGTCCATGTGATTTGTAGTCTCCCTGATAGAAGAAAAATCACATAGCACTTGGTCATACTGCACTCTTTCTAAAGCATTTAAAAGAAGTGCCATACTTTGGTGGGCATCTTTACAGAAGAAAAGTCTTGTGTTCAACAAAATCTCCTGTATGACAGTTATTAGTTCTATTTGTTGTTATATTTAATAATTTGATACCAACCTTAAGCAATTAGTAATATATTTATATCTATAAATAATGTCCTACACTGCCCTACAAGGAAGAAACTCGTATAAATGCAAATCACACATGAAATAATTTCTCATGAATCTAGCACGAATATATCACTACACCATGGTAAAAACAGTTTAAAGTCATCTTAATCACTGGCTTTCTATATCATTTTGATTTTGAAGATGGCTGTCTTCTGGGCTGTAGTGTCATGTAATCTGGTAGAAGCTTACCAGGTTTTCAGATGTCCTTGCTACATCATCAAGGCGATGAGTACATGTTTTTCTTGCAGTTTATGACATTTCACTATTATAAATGGAGTGACATTATTACTGAGAAATATAACTTGGCATTTCAGGCATAACTCATAAAGCCTACTTTCCAAGACATTTAACCCTACAAATTTTGTTTTGCTAATGGCAATATTTCTCATCTGCAGATTCTTAGCAGAACTACAAGGGATACATCTGAATAGTGGAAGTTGCATGAAGTCTTGTTTTAGACACTATATAATTTCACCCAGGCTTGGTCTTTAAGAGATTTCATAATAATTTCTATAGTTTCCATTATTTGATGTTCAGATTCAAGCAGTGCCTTTTGGACAAAGATCACATACATTTTCATGTACTTCATACAAAAAAATGACTATTTCATGTGTATATGTTCACATCAGATACATGTAACATGTGCAATATAGAACGGAATACACATCAGGGTACCCTGATGATGGAAGCAGCAAGCACCTCTGAAACACTGGTAAACTTCTACCAGACTACATGGCACAACAATCCAGAAGACAGCCATCTTCACAGAGTCAAAGAGTAATAGATGCTGGAGAAAACTACATAATTAGGGTTTTCATACTTCATACTATTCACCAAATATTAAGATGATCGATTCAAGGATTATGAAATGGGTAGGACATATAGCATAGAAGAGATGAGAAATGCATATAGAATTTTAGATGGAAAACCTGAAGGTAAGAGTCCATTTGAAAGATTATATGTATGTGGGAGTATACTATTAAAATTAACCTTTTAAAAAAGGTGTATGTGGACTAGATTCATATGGATCAGAATACGGACCACGGGTGGGTTCTTGTAAACATGATAATGGATCTTGGGTTCTACAAGAGGTGATGAATTTTTCAACTAGCTAAGTTATTATTAGCCCCTCAAGGATTCTGCTTCATGGAGTTAGGTTAAAAAAAGGGTTAGTGATGAAAATAATATAATATTTGGTTGTCCTTCAGAACTGCCTCATCAACTCCATATTCTTAACGGCTTCTCCTGACATTCTGACCTTATGCCATACTGGTATCATGCCCCACATCATAGGCTGCAGCATTCTCTCAGATTCACCACCGAAATGTGAGCCAGACACAAGAACAGGAGTCACATCTGTTGGAGCAACATTATGTGATGGTCTATACTGTTGCTTGTTTTTGATATTACTGGCCCAGTGTGGTAGCTGATAGTTGCCAGATATTTTATCTTTAAAGCTGCTAGCCTTCTGAACATCATCTGGACACAGTGAGCTGTAGTAAGAATAGCAAAAGTAAGATGACTACATTTTATTAAATTATTTTAAAATGTTACATAAACGTTTGAGATGATGCACCAAGGTGATAATATGCTTGATGGTAAAGACTGAAAAGAGAATTGTTTAATGTGAAGTAACCGGAAGCACCTACTAGCTGAAACATTTTTGTAAATGGTGACCAGAAGGCACTCCAAATGTTCAAGATGTCTGGAGACATTAGTAATTCATAATTTATATTTTCGTGTTCAAAGAATGTTATTTTACAACACCTTGAATGATTTATATGGCAACTTTTTATGCTTAAAGGGCAAAAATATTATTACCATTACTTTTAATTAAAATAATAAAATCTGTTGTCTAGCTATACATTCAGAGGGAAGTGCTGTAATGGAACTCCAGATCCACTCACTTGCCACCCAACTCTGACACTCAGAATGCAATGCAAGTGTCACTGAGGAGCCAGATTCAGCAACCTATATAGTGCCTTCATTGCATTAATGTTTAATGTTCACTGGACTAAATAACATTAAAATAACTTAGAAATTGTCTGCTGAAAAGTAACAATACAGTTTTACTGATTACTCACTTTCGTACTGCAAATGTGTATTTTAGAAGTTATGAAAAATGCCAAAATTAACATCAGAGCAAATAATTTTCATTACATGGATGTACTGGCAGATAGAAAGGGCAGATAGTGTACTATTTGAACGGAAAGAACATCACAACTGTCTGCTACCAGCATAATCATATTCATCATCACAGGTTCTACAGCCTATTACAGGCCTTGACAGCCCCAATCAACAGAATTTGTTGAAGAAGTTTGACAAGATTGGATCTCCTGATATGTGGTAGGCCTCAAACCATAACAAATGACAACTTTGTAGATACTGTTACCAGGACCACAGTCAATCCAGAGTAGACTAGGATAATATCCTGGGGATTTTTTGGGTCATAGGTTCTTTTATCTTTGACATAACAGTGACAAGAGAGGCAACAGTTTGGCCTGATCTTTTCACCACTGAAAGACGGTAATTTGCAATCTTGTCGATGGCAGTTCACAACTTCTAACTTCTATATACAAACCTGTTTCTTTTATTCATTTATTATTTATAGTTCTTTAAACAACACTTTAACATAAGCTCAGACTATATAGCATAGAATGGCAGGATGATAGTGAATAATGACTTGGAAATGCTATGGAAGGAAGCAATCACAGCCTAATTTAAAGTACAATCCCAGAATTTGCCTGGAGGGTCTGAGGAAAATCATGAAAACTCAGCCAGGATAGGCAAGGTTAGAACCTAGGACCTCTCAAATACAAAAGAGTGCCAACCACATGACCACAACATTTGGTACCAATCTGTTTTTTCTGTTCAGACCCTTATTATTGAATGGCAAAATTAGTACTTTCAGGCTGTTGGATAGGATGAGGAGCTCCAGTGGAGACATTGGAAAGTCAAGGATTTATAAAAGAAGACTTGTATGCAAGCAAGCAAGCTAAGATACAATGAATAATAGAAATTAACAATAAAAATATTGCAGATATATCTGTATAAATGTGTGAAAAAGGTATGAAAAAAGCTGTTTGAACTTTGTGTCTATTTTGAAGGTAGCGAATTAAAAAAATGTCCATATGTAATGAAGTATATGTAATGTTATTTATTGGGTCTGCAACAATTGTAGTGCTACTTCTGAATGTAACTTCAGTTCTCAACACCACTGTGTAACTAAAGTGTTTTTGGGCATCAAAACAAATTACTTTTCATGTACACAGTTAAAAAGATGCCTCATATTATAATCAAATTTACATTCCTTGGATCCTTAATACTTGAAGGCAAGGATGTAGAACATGTCATAGTATGTATATGAACACTTTGTATGACAAAATGCTAAAATGAAACAAAATTGTATATGAATATATATTATGGCTATTTGCATATGTATTTACAGTATTTAATAATTTTCAATCAAAATAAATTCTTCTACAGAGTAAAAGGAGTGAGATAAAAGGTAATATTTCAATACTGGCTTAAATACTGTCTGGAAGAGAACTAAATAATTGTACCCTGCATATAGTAAGCACCCTTTTGATAACTAATGAGGTTAATGCTTGGCTGAAGGAGGACATGCTTATACCTTGTATTTACGCTATGTATGTAAAAGTTTAGAATTTTTCCATGTTGTCCAAAATAAGGCAGTCGTGAAAGTAGGAATTCACTCATTTTGCAAGTGAGAGTTTATTAAATGTCTTAAATAGTTATTTGCAAGATACTCTTTTAGTACCAGCCATCATTTTAATTATTTTGTCTAATAAATACTATTTGCTGTCTGTTAAATTTCCCCAGAAAATAACTACGTAATAAATTAAAAACCAGTAACTATAGACATAACCTCGTCTATTCAAATTACTCAATATCAGCAAGTAATGTCACAGTTACGCACCACGCAGTTCTTCCGCACATTACTTAGCTTTTGTAGTTATATTTTTCCGTAAACTATAACAAAGGACATGTAAGAATTTCTTTCTTGCGGTCTAATCAATCCCTGAATTTACACAAATGACTTGTTCTGCGCGCATTAAAAACAAAATCCTGTCTTTGCAATATATCGATAACTCTACAGAACGATACTCGGCACTGATCTTCAGGCAGTGTCTCCTTCTGCCATCTATGGAAATGTTGAATAATTACTTCGACCAGTGTTCTTCAAACTGGGGGTCGTGGGAACAAAAGTGGCGCACGAAACAACACCCCGATTGAAAGTCTAAATAAAAACTTGGTACATATATCTCTATGAACACAAAGAACAGTTCACGGAGATTCATCCTTCATGGATCACAAGCTCAATATAATTTCCATTTAGTCGTGCAATTTCCGAAACTCGAGCGGCTGCGGTCCCTATCTCGAGCCAGATGAACCCAATCCACACTCTATAAACTTATTTATGTAAGATGTCTTAATGTTATTCTTCCATTGACTCCGAGGTCTTCTCTTTAGGCTTCCCAACCAAAGTTTCTTCATTGATAAATACATATTCACGGAAGATTTTGTTGGAAGGAGTCAGGTATGAAGATTTTGTTTGGGCGTTCTGTAAAAGAACTATGACCTGATAAAACTAAATGGAAAAATAATGACAGCGATATACTGCCATCCCTAGAGTAATTAGGAGCATATGAAAGATAAGACAAGGCACTGAACTAATGAATTAGTGAAATATATGTTATAGACTGCAGAAGATGTAGCTTTGCTGTTTAACTACTGAATTCTTACAGAATATTCTAAATGATTTTCAAGAGTGGATTACATGTCATTGTCAAGATAACCATCATTTTAATTGTGGGCTCTATAGGTGAGTTCTCATATTTGCATTTTTTTAACAATATGTTATCAAGTTTCGAGAAGACTGTTCTAAGTTCTCATATTTGCATTTTTTTAACAATGTGTTACCAAGTTTCGAGAAGACTGTTCTATTCTATATACAGACTTGTTTCCTTCCTCTAAAAAAATTTCATAATTTTTAAATATTGTGTTGGTAGCTCTTCTAAGTAATTTCCAAACCTATTTTCCAATCTGAACCACGTGCAATATACTGTGATAATTACGTAGGTTGAAACGAAATTGCGCACAAGTTCTCCATAGTGATATTCCTTGTTTAAAAATAAGTCGAAAATGTTATACAACGTATGTCCCGAGAGGCTTAGTCTTCGAGACACACTCCTCAGCAGTGTTATTAGTCGTGACGATGCATAAAGGACGTTGTTAGGTGTACTCAAGACATACAGTGCACAGCAGGGCACGGAACATGTGAATGCAGGTCGCCCACGGATAGTACAGACATCGCATCTGTGAGTAAGTTCGAGCAGTGAACACAAATCAGTTAGTTTAGAATTCGGCTAACTGAAAACATTCTAGATTCCTAAAGACCGACATGACTCTCAGTGTAAGTCATCTTTGGCGACAGGACATCTTCAAAAGGAATTATATCGCTTGTGAATTCTAGAATAGTATAATTCGTTTTGTTTCAGAGGAGTGAAGAAAGAAAAAATATTCTACACTTTTTGGTAATTAAGAGTGTCTATTCCATCTGCTCCTTACTTTAAATTAAAAGTTCAAGAAACTGTAGTAAATAACTGTGATCTATTAATAAAACCAAACGATTATGGAATACGCAAAGACTAGTGGAAATGACAGCGGGTTTGATCGTTGCCTCTGCGCCACGTGGATTGTGAAAAATTACTGTAGTATCAATGTGACATTGACCTCTCAGACGTAGTGTGGGAACATCGCCAACTGAATATTTCGCTTCACAGTGTGGTCCATTCATTCGCACGCTCTATTAGAGGTAAATGACCCCTGTACTTGTTTGTGTGCTGGGGAAGGAGCTATTGGAATTCTATAGACTGAGCGAATCATATGTGTGGGCTCAACTATTGAACTTGCTACCAACAGCAGGTCAGTTGACTGTATCCCCCCAAAACGATTATTTTGGGCTGCTGTATGGGTCTGGAACTGAGTCTAAGACTGATATCAAATTACAGTATCGAATACTTTTAAAATAAAAACTAGAAAATATATTATTTTTAAGTGTCTTCACTGAATTACTGAAAATTTGCCACTTTATGAAGTTACCCGAAACAGAACAGTTAAATCAAGTTCGTATTATAGCAATGAATTTGTCTTTTACCTCATCGCCCTGATGATGGAGGAAATAAGCTCTTCTGAAACGTCCGTTACTATCTAGCAGACTACATGACACAGCATCTCAGAAGCCTCCATTCACGTGAAAAGAACTAAGAACATGTTCGTGCCTCGTCTAAACAAGATAGGACAACATCACAATACAGAGTATTTCGTTTAAAACACGACACTAAAAATCCTACACGCATAAAAAGATGAAACCAATGACAATACTGATTTCTTGCAGCTGATCCATCGCTTTAGATCGGTACGATCGTAGTTTCAGCTGTTTCATCTCTCATTGTCAGTGGGCAATTGCCACAAACAAAACACTTATCAATCAGCGTATTGTTGTCTTACACAGTGCACTTATATGTCAGGATTCTATTGCTAAAGACTTCGCGAACTGACTAAAACTGTATCTTGATATTCATCTTTCAGAATCACGCGCTAATGAGGACTTCGTGCTGCTGAACTCCACTACGTCACTTTCTATCCTAGAGGTTCATCTACCACAGTGGCCTCCGCTGACAAACACGGGTTACCAACTTCCTGACAGGTGAGCAATTTGATGTGGACAGGCGACTCCTAGAAACGAACGACTCGCAGATTGTAGGTTAGTTTTCTCTTGCCTTCGCGCGTGGGTACATTTGCCATTACATTTATAAACGTCGAACTTATTAGAATAAATTAATAATATCTCTTCGGCAGAAATCATGAAGCCTTCTTTCTTACTGTACAATCTCCCGTCAAACAAATTTTGCGCTTTTAATATCACGTTAAAGTGCTATAAGTTTATAAACCTACAATGAGATGCAAGCTTGTGCGTGGGCTAGCACTCGGACTTCCGTTTATAATTATAGTCATAGGATCGAAATCTATTCTGGTCACATTTTATTGCATGCAATTATTTTTTGGCAAGAACTTACTACTTAATTACAGATTATGACTGCACTAACCTTATCAGATATAACCTCAAATATTCGTAATTTTTCATAATTGTAATTGTTGACTTATAAACGTTATTTCATACGCAACTTTTCATGATCTATCTTCACACCAGATTTTATAAACACAGTTTTCATGACTGAGACCTATTAGTTACCACTAGATAAAAATTTTCGAGCTGTAGCCATGATGATATTTTACGGTCTACAAGAATTGGCCTCAAGAAAAGCTGGATATTTTTCCTAATGCAAGGGCCCTGAAATGTCTACAAGTTCGTAAGTCCGCCATGTTAGTCCTGTTACTGGTTGTAGTAAATTAAAAAGTATGAAATTCATGAGACCTCAAATGATATAACATTCATAACAAATTTCTTGAAAATCAGCCAGTTTAACACGTGAACACACGTGTATGTACAGTATTGTGTTATCATACGCTTAATAAAAATAATATTTTTTCATGATATATGATGGAAATATATATGCTCTGTTTAAAAAATAAGATTGGCTTATAGGAGTGGGATTATAAACCAGACAATAAATATATTTTAATTGAAATAATAAGAATCTCACAGGACATGGGTTTCGAACATGCTGAGAGAATTTAAGAAATAAAGAACTCTAATCGGGGCGAATCTGTGTGTTTTGCCTAACTTGTTAGTAGAATTACTGTTTAAATCATGTATTACGTACAAAGGAACTGAGACAGCGAGATGCCAAACAGTGCTGTTGGGAAATAATGTTTACAGCATGGACAGTATCTGATATCCCTCCCGCCTCTCTGAACCCTTGCCTTTTGCTTCTAACGGATCTCGAGCTCACAGATTCGCCCCGACTGCAGTAAGGCAGGCAACACAGAATGGAGAGAGACATACACGCCCCGGAACACGATTGCCCTATTCAGAATGCTGAGAGTGAAAGAAGTAGTATCGAATGGGGCAAAAATCCAAGACTGGAGCAAGTCTCTGCTGGATTGATCGTAAGACGCTCTTTCGTTATTCAACTAAAATGACTTTTAAGTTCGCTCACTGTCTGGATTCCGACCCAGGGCGGCATACAAGCCTCTTTCTGCTCAAATAGAGCTGTTGTATTTTAATGCATACAGTGGTTCTTGACCTCTGACTCACAAATTGACAAAATAGTAGCCCGATTCTCGTCTGCCTCACAGTATGGAGTATACAAGTTGTAGTCTATAAACATAATTATTTCCAGTGCGTCTAAACATGTTTATTTACAATACCTGTATTATTATTATTATTCCATCTATTCACCACTTTATAGGATACTTACTTCTATGTACCCGAGACAAACCTTGCCCTTAAGGTACATAGTGCAGCAGCTATTTCTGAAATACATTTTGTTTTTTAATACGTGTTACATGTATTATATAGTTTTATTGTTAGAGATGATTACATATACCAGGTGATTCAAAAAGGACTTTACAACTTTGAAAGTGTATAGAAATTTATTCAGAAGGCTTACAGAATCGGTTGAGGTGTCATTTTGTAGTAGAACAAATCAAGTTTGACTCACGTTGTGCTGTAGTACCGAATTCCGTTACCGCGAGCGCAAGCGGCAGTGAATTTGAAAATGGCTCGAAAATTTTCTCATACCACAGTTAGACGAAGATGACCAAAAAGGACGCATTAACTTCCAGCCAGACGGCGCAATGTCTGCAGTATCACCAATGGCAATCACATCGAACCAAAATGACTGTTTGAGGTAAAACTTGATTTGCTTTGCTAGAAAATGACACCTCAACCGATTCTGTAAGCCTTCTGAATAAATTTCTATACACTTTCAAAGTTGTAAAGTCCTTTCTGAATCACCCTGTATTACGACAGCGTCTTTCGAATGATACATGAAGTTCCCAAAATGACAGTTTTCTGAAGTTCTCTGATGTGTTCGCCCGGGATGTTGGCCAAATATTTTCAGAGTGACTCGGAGAGAGTTCTAGTTGCTCCTATAATTATTGGGATTACTTTTGTTTTCACTTTCCACATTCGCTGTATTTTAAATGAGAAGGTCCTTGCATTTCAAGATGTTCTCAGCTTCCTTCTTAATCACGTTCCTGTCAGTCGGTATTGCTATGTCAATTAAGAGACAAGTTCCATTTTTGTTTCGGATTACTTATCATCATCATCATCATCATCATCATTGGTTCGACAGTCCTTGACGGACCTTGGCCTCCTAACACGTGTCAAGTTACTAGATCTATTAGACATTTAGTAGGACTCCTTGGATGAGTGATCAGCCCGTCGTAAGGCCCCTACCTATACAGGACAGCTGACGAACATCCATGCCTTGAGTGGGATTCGAACCCACGGTCCCAGTGTCCGAGCGACCAAGGTCCACAACCCAGATCTCACGTCCACTGTGACCGACAACGCCTTCACACACTCGGTGTTAAATTAGAGGAGACGCCATAGCCCAGTCATCCACGTTGAACGTATCAATCAAAATCTGACGTTCGTTACGAGCGCAGTCACAGGATGAAAGGTTATAATTTTGCATTTGTTGTGTGAGCAGTCCTATTGGATATGAAGTGCCGTGTGGCGTGAGGAACGGCGAGGCGGTCCGTATTGTAGGAGGCTCAAGTGTGACCCCAGGTGAGTAATTTTTTCTGCTCCGTTGTTATTTACTTTAGGATTTATCGCGGCTTCATCCTACCCTAAAGACTTTGGCAAATAGTCAGTTAATAAGGACATAATTGCGTTGGAAATTTCCCATTGTCAGAAGTAGGCCTGGCCTATGTTTGATATGAACGACGTTTCGGTAATTGCATTTATTATTATTTATATTTATTTAGTGTTCTGTCTGACGACAGGTCCATATGAACAGGATCCTTCCATCCTTTTCTCGGACTGGGACCAGTTCATATACGTTCTTGGCAGATGATCCAGAAGTGGTTTGTCATTGCCTTCTTCTGTGTGTGAATGGAGTAATTGTTGGGATGCCACGGAGGAAAACTCCGTGTTGCCTAGACCACGGCCTTGCCCAACACAAGTTATAAATTCGGGCACCGCCGGGAATCGAACCCGAGACCCCAGGATTACAAGACCAGCGTTCTAACCGCTAGACCACCGTGGCGGTCAATTGCATTTACTCGTATTCATTTGTTTGATTGGCTGACAGATTATTTTTAAGTTACTCTTCTATATTTTGTAGCAGTGACCAGGATACACGAAGGCGTCACTACCATTTTGATTTACGTAATGAAATATACTGTTCTATATTTCTTCTAGTATCTTCCCCATGGTCAGTATCACGTAAACTGTTAGACTGATTGAAACATATCACAAAATTAAAATGATACAAGTAAGAAATGTGTCTGACTTTATTAATTTAGTGTTCTGTATAATATAGTAGGTGGAATTTCAAATACATCAAATAACGTCAAATGAAAGTACACGCGTGTGTTATAACGTGAAATGGAACAGCTGAAGGATCATAAATCAGGAATAGGTGTTTGCAGGTGAGTTTCCGTGGCAGGTGTCACTGCAGTTGGTGTCGGGCTGGACAGCGCGCCACATATGCGGCGGTGTCGTACTCGCCAACTACTGGGTACTCACCGCGGGGCACTGCACTGCAGGACTCTCACCCACTGCCTTGTCCGTCGTGGCGGGCGACAACGATCTGTACACGGAGGAAGGTAGGGCTTGCTATTCACCGGGACTCCGTGGCGAGTCCCACTATCGTAACTCGTCTCTGCGTGTTTCCTGGCTCTACCTGGTCAATGTCCTAGTACGTAGTTTAGGGACCCACTGGCCGCGACTAGCCGCGCGCGGCTGTTATTTGTATTGCTTTTTATAGGTGCGAAACCCACTGACGCGGCGCGGCAGCCGCGTCAGTGGGTCCCTAGCCTAAGAGCGTAGAATGTTACAGCATCTGCTAATTTATTGTGGTATTATGGTTTGAAGTGGTGGAAAACTTGGTTTGAAAAGGATTAATCAAATAGCCTATGAAAATTGTTTCGTGCATTTATTGCTACCCCAAGACCGAAACGTACATTTTTCCATGTTTCACCTGTGTGATTTTGATAACGAAGATGGAGGCAGCAAGGACCCTGGAACGTCGGTAAACTTCTACCAGACTACACGGCGCAACAACCCAGAAGAAGGCCTTCTGCCCACAAACATACTTTGTAGCAAAGTGCAGAGTTTCTGACTGTCGAAGCAAGTGGTACATTGCTGCCATTAGGCTTTAAAGTGTTAGTCCAAAGTTATCGTCCTTAATATTTGGGCCAAATATTTGACTAGATGGACCGAGGAAAATAATGAAAAATCTTAATCTCGATGGTGAAGTCTCCGTCGAGATTCGAACCAGTCACCTTCCGAATGGAAGTCAGAGATGTAGAAGGCAGTGACTCTGAGTTTCACCCCGTGTAATTTTGTGGCGGACAAAACTACAGATACAGATTCTCCTTTTCGTGATATTTTAATTTGTAGTATCGATACTCAATATGAATCGTATAGCTAATAGCCGTCACAGTGGCCGCGTGGTCTGAGGCGTGGGCCTTGTGTCGCTTGGTCGCTGGGACCGTGGGTTCGAATCCCACTCAAGCCCTAGATGTCTGTCCGCGTTTTCCTGTGTTGTGCTGTCCTGTGTACAGGTAGAGGCCTTGTGATGGACTGATCCCTCGTCCAAGGAGTCCTACCGAATGTCCATAGATCAAAGCCAACGAAAATTTGGGACCCGCAGATGCTCAAGGCACTAAAGAACGGGTCGCCTAAGTATCCTAGCTAATACGGGTTAATCAAGTTACGTGTCTATGTGTATTTCAGGACGGGAACAACGGTCTTACGTAATCCGGGTGGTAACCACGAACTTCGCCATCAATAATTTCTCAAATGATATCGCTCTTCTTCAACTGAAGAAACCGCTGCATCTGGACGGCGAACGCATCGCTCCTGTGTGTCTACCGCAGCCCGGAGAAAAATTCATTGACGGTAAACATACTTGTTGAAGATTTCTGTCTTCTGGGTTGTTGCGCTGTGTAGTCTGGTCGATGTT